TATTGAGTCTACATGTTTTTGTCCCACAGTGAGTTCCATTCAACCAACCAGAGGTTTCACAGTATGCTGCATATAAACAGCACACAAAACACTTGTGTGCCATGTTGATATCAGTCCACAACAACATGCCAAAAGTCTTGGCTGGTTTTCTACCAGTAGTGTAGGAGCTGCTGTGTCATCAGGGCCACAGGTGGGTGTGGGCCACCTGCTCTCCTGCTCCCTGCTATATCCACTGAGACTCAGAGAGCAAACTGGCGATTCCTCTACAGTCACCCAGACCAGGACAGAGACAGACACACCCTCTCAGGTGAAACAGGAAAGGAGCAGTAAAACATTTTTTTTACTGTGAAATACAGGAACAGGAAAGCAACCTCTTGAGAAACAGACTTTTAGACTTTCTGTGTTCTGTGTGTCATCAGCAGTGATACATTCCCATGAAAATAATAAAAACAATGCATTTGATTATCAACACAAAATGTAAAGTGATGCTTGATTACAAAAATAATGGCTACATGCTACAGCCAATATACATGGAATTGATCTGCTGGTTTATAACTACAGTGCATTCAGAAAGTATTTAGACCCCTTGACTTTTTCCACATTTTGTTATGTTACAGCCTTATCGATCTAAAATGGATTAATCTACACACAATACCCCATAACAATAAAAACAGGTTTGTAATTTGTTTTGCTAATAAAAAATAAAAAATACGGAAATATCACAATTACATAAGTATTCAGACCCTTTACTCAGTACTTTGTTGAAGCACCTTTGGCAGCGATTACAGCCTCGAGTCTTCTTGAGTATGGCACTACAAGCTTGGCACACCTGTATTTGGGGAGTTTCTCCCATTCTTCTCTGCAGATCCTCTCAAGCTCTGTCAGGTTGGATGGGGAGCGTCGCTGCACAGCTATTTTCAGGTCTCTCCAGAGATGTTAGATCGGGTTCAAGTCTGGGCTCTGGCTGGGCCACTCAAGGACATTAAGATACTTGTATCAAAGCCACTCCTGCGTTGTCTTGGCTGTGTGCTTAGGGTCGTTGTCCTGTTGTAAGGTGAACCTTTACTCCAGTCTGATTTCCTGAGCGCTCTGGAGCAGGTTTTTATCAAGGATCTCTCTGTACTTTGCTCTGTCAGAGTGACCATCGGGTTCTTGGTCCCTCCCTGACTAAGGCCCTTCTCCCCCGATTGCTCAGTTTGGCCGGGCAGCCAGCTCTAGGAAGAGTCTTGGCGGTTCCAAACTTCTTCCATTTAAGAATGATGGAGGCCACTGTGTTCTTGGGGACCTTCAATGATGCAGAAATGTTTTGGTACCATTCCCCAGATCTGTGCCTCGACACAATCCTGTCTTGGAGCTCTACGGACAATTCCTTCGACCTCATGGCTTGGTTTTTGCTCTGACATGCACTGTCAACTGTGGGACCTTATATAGACAGGTGTGTGCCTTTCCAAATAATGTCCAATCAATTGAATTTACCACAGGTAAATCAAGTTGTAGAAACATCTCAAGGATGATCAATGGAAACAGGATGCACCTGAGCTCAATTTCGAGTCTCATAGCAAAGGGTCTGAATACTTATGTAAATAAGGTATTTCAGTTTTTTATTTTAATACATTTGCAAAAATGTCTAAAAGCCTGTTTTTGCTTTGTCATTATGGTGTATTGTGTGTAGATTGATGAGGGAAAATGTTTATTTAATCAATTTTAGAATAAGGCTGTAACGTAACAAAATGTGGAAAAGGTCAAAGGGTCCGAATACTTTCCGAATGCAAAGTTTGTAGTTGATTTAGTGACACATATCACCATTCATAAAATCACTTACCTTCCTGCGTTTGAGACGACGTGGACTGTAGACATGATATCATTATAATACACAGAACAGACACCTGCAAATGGTCCATGCCTAGGTCCAAACCAGCCGAATAATAATCATGACCAGGAATTACAGTAGAGCAGGTCGGTTTAATCCTCAAGAAGTCCTCAACTCGTTAGATACTTTTTTTTGGAAAGGCATAACAATTTCAACAAATTATAACTTCGAGATTGATCTTCATAAGACTCGAGACTCAAGTCTACAGTTGATAGGTCCAAGTTTCAGTACCACGATTACTTGCCCTTTCTCTCTAATAAGAAGCCTATTTACAGTGTCGCATTGACTTGACGCAGAAACATTATCGTATTATTAGATAAGATACTTCCAGTGAATATGGGCGGTGAATAAATTCCGATATGGTGCGTCAATACAGAGTTTGGCAAAAGTTAACAAGTATTTTGATGCTCAGCTTTCACTCCTAGCGGTGATACAGACCAGACAGGCACTTGATTGGCCAGATCAGTTTGTTTACCAATCAGTAGTCGTTACTTCTGAGCGCTAGTGAGAAAATCCGTTTCATTTTGTGGCTACTTTTAAACATTACGATAATATTTGCTACATAAATAAAAGGTCAAGGATTAGCCTAATCTGATTTATAAATATATGAAAACACTGTTGATGATTTCAATGGGCCCTTTCTAAATACAATCATATCTAGAAAAATGGGTCATTGACATTAATGACGTTTATTATAATATTGTAATAAACCAGTTGATGGAATCAGTTTTTGAATCTAGTTATGTCTTGGGTGTAGCCTATGGTTAAAATGATTACACTGAAATTCATTAACACAAATTGGTCAGAATCCTAACATGTAGGCTAATAGCAGCATGCTTGATTATCCATGAAAATAAATTGTAAGCAAAGCTTAGTAGGCTACTGAAACAATATAAGAACATTATTTAGCATCATCCTAAATGTGTTTATTTCCATTCCATGTAGACTATTTTGGACCAGTGTTACTTTCAATCAGTGACAGGTTTAGGGTCTGAGTGGCTGTACTGTCTGTCTCCATGCAATGAACAGCAGTATTGTCCTCCAGCCCTGTCAACTGGTTAATCAGTGCTGTTTTGATGCGTATGGAGCAGCCTGTCACAGTGGCATCATTGTCAAACGGTCAAGTGACTTCTGAACCCAAACCCAGAACATAGAATCTATGCTTCATTCCAACAGAATGGAACACACAACACACAACTCAGAACAGAGAATAGGCCTAACATTCCATGCCATGTCGCACTCTATAAAAGAGAGCAGTTAATAAATGTACAGGAAATAAATATCTGGTTGTGATGAATATGTAACACAGTGTTGTTATTTCTGTTTCCATAATGAAGGACTAGGTAGATGAGTTGATGTAAAGATATATTCACACGCTCAGACAAAACATAGTAGGTTGAAAATGTTTAGGAACAGTGGCATTTGATTGATTTACACGAGTTATAGACACTTATTATAACGCTCTTTATAACACTTACAAAGACACGTATACAGCATTTATAGATGAGTTTCAACAAGCTTGTAAACATAGTAAGCTACCTTGTTCATACGTTCTTCACTGTAAAAGAAGGCTGTTCTTTCCATTTCCCTTACATCTATCTGCTATTAAAAAGATTCAAAGTGAAGAGTTGACCCATGGAGTTGAAAAGTCTGGAAAATTCTGTAATAAACTCAATAATAAAAACTCTGAATATTCTGTTGTTATGCAACACCATTATAATAGTTAGAAAAGGGGATGTTTACATCGTAATTTGAAATGTTGAATAGTGGGTCCATCTAGTGGCAGCATGATGTGACCATTTGACTTTTCTCTCAGTGTTTACATCAGACAGGCAGTACCTCATTTGTGTGCGTACATCCCATAGCTGTGCTGTGATTCCAGGTCATATATTTTATATCCAGCAGGGGGAGACAAAGGCCAGCGCTCTGAGTTTCCTCTGCCTGCGAGCCTCTGAAGTTTCTTAGCTGAACTTTAGTTTAGTATGTTATACAAATTTAGCCATTCATGTAACACACACAATACATCCCCTTTCTAACTATTATAATGGTGTTGCATAACAACACAATATTCAGAGTTTTTATTACTGAGTTTATTACAGAATTTTCCTGACTTTTCAACTCCATGGGTCAACTCTTCACTTTGAATCTTTTTAATAGCAGATAGATGTAAGGGAAATAATAATAATAATAATAATATGCCATTTAGCAGACGCTTTTATCCAAAGCGACTTACAGTCATGCGTGCATACATTTTTTTTTTTGTGTATGGGTGGTCCCGGGGATCGAACCCACTACCTTGGCGTTACAAGCGCCGTGCTCTACCAGCTGAGCTACAGAGGAAAGAACAGCCTTCCTTTACAGTAAAGAACGTATTCAGGTGTCAGCCAATCCTGAATCTGTCATCTGAGGTTCTATCTACAGACTACAGACTATTCTTATAGACAGACTACTATGAGTGGGTGGCTCCATGACAGACTACTATGATGGCTCCATGATTGCCCAAGCTTCTGTTGCCAGACCTCGTCAGATTCTTCACCAGAGTATCATCATTATCCCTGGTGGCCCTAGCCTGTCCATCTGTCTGCCTGTCTGCCTGTCTGCCTGTCTGCCTGCCTGCCTGCCTGCCTGCCTGCCTGCCTGCCTGCCTGCCTGCCTGCCTGCCTGCCTGCCTGCCTGCCTGCCTGCCTGCCTGCCTGCCTGCCTGCCTGCCTGCCTGCCTGCCTGCCTGCCTGCCTGCCTGTCTGTCTGTCTGTCTGTCTGTCTGTCTGTCTGTCTGTCTGTCTGTCTGTCTGTCTGTCTGTCTGTCTGTCTGTCTGTCTGTCTGTACTGTCTGTACTGTCTGACTGTATATCTGTCCGGGGCCAGGCTGTGTGTGGAGGCAGGTTGATGCTCCAGTCCCCAGTCCTCTGCATGGCCTTTACATCCTGGCTGGTCGCCATTCCCTTCAACAGATTGATGAATTGATTGTGGGGCTGCTGCCAGTGTGTCTGTGCCCTGGGCGAGGGGTGTCCCGGTTACGGGAGAGAATCCCAGCTATGGCACCCGCCCTGGGGCCGCTATTGTGGCTGGCCTGCAGGGGGCCCAGGGGGCCAGAGAGCAGCTCTCTCTGACCCACATACTGCTGTCACACCCCTGGAGACACAGCACTGGAGCTGAAGGGGGAAGGGGCGGGGGACACAGCACTGGAACTGAAGGGGGAAGGGGCGGGGGACACAGCACTGGAACTGAAGGGGGAAGGGGCGGGGGACACAGCACTGGAACTGAGGGCGGTTGTGGGGGGCGGATTGGGACTGGGGCTAGGGTAGGGGGCCAGTGCTGGAGCTGGGGGGGAGTGGGCTGGAGGGCTGGAGACATAGGGCTGTTGCGGAGATCGGACATGGGCTGGGGGTATGAGAGGGCTGGGGCCAATAGGGACCTCTGAATCGCTGAACTAAATTGTGGGCCATGCTGTGAAAATCTTTCACACACACCCCAAAACTCAAAAGAAGTCCTAACTCGATTTGAAGACATGGAATCGAAATGATTGCAAGAAACATAACTTGATGTAGGTATTTTGTATTGCTCTACCAGAGCAGTTAACAGGTAAACTGGTATCACTGGACACATCCTCACCAATACATACAGTTGAAGTCGAAAGTTTACATACACCTTAGCCAAATACATTTAAACTCAGTTTTTCACAATTCCTGACATTTAATCCTAGTAAAAATTCCCTGTCTTAGGTCAGTTAGGATCACCTCTTTATTTTAAGAATGTGAAATGTCAGAATAATAGTAGAGAGAATTATTTATTTCATTCCCAGTGGGTTAGAAGTTTACATACACTCAATTAGTGTTTGGTAGCATTGCCTTTAAATTGTTTAACTTCGGTCAAACGTTTCGGGTAGCCTTCCACAAGCTTCCCACAATAAGTTGGGTGAATTTTGGCCCATTCCTCCTGACAAGTGCTCGCACATGCTTTTTCAGTTCTGCCCACAAATGTTCTATAGGATTGAGGTCAGGGCTTTGTGATGGCCAGTCCAATACCTTGACTTTGTTGTCCTTAAGCCATTTTGCCACAACTTTGGAAGTATGCTTGTGGTCATTGTCCATTTGGAAGACCCATTTGCGACCAAGCTTTAACTTCCTGACTGATGTCTTGAGATGTTGCTTCAATATATCCACATAATTTTCCTTCCTCATGATGCCATCTATTTTGTGAAGTGCACCAGTCCCTCCTGCAGCAAAGCACCCCACACAGCATGATGCTGCCACCCTGTGCTTCACGGTTGGGATGGTGTTCATCAGCTTGCAAGCAGCCCCCTTTTTCCTCCAAACATAACGATGGTCATTATGGCCAAACAGTTCTATTTTTGTTTTATCAGACCAGAGGACATTTCTCCAAAAAGTAAGATCTTTGTCCCCATGTGCAGTTGCAAACCGTAGTCTGGCTTTTTTATGGCGGTTTTGGAGCAGTGGCCTCTTCCTTGCTGAACGGCCTTTCAGGTTATGTCGATATAGGACTCATTTTACTGTGGATATAGATACTTTTGTACCTGTTTCCTCCAGCATCTTCACAAGGCCCTTTGCTGTTGTTCTGGGATTGATTTGCACTTTTCGCACCAAAGTACGTTCATCTCTAGGAGACAGAACGCGTCTCCTTCCTGAGCGGTATGACGGCTGCGTGGTCCCATGGTGTTTATACTTGCATACTATTGTTTGTACAGATGAACATGGTACCTTCAGGCGTTTGGAAATTGCTCTCAAGGATGAACCAGACTTGTGGAGGTCTACACATTTTTTTTTTCTTGGCTGATTTCTTTTGATTTTCCCATGATGTCAAGCAAAGAGGCACTGAGTTTGAAGGTAGGCCTTGAAATACATCCACAGGTACACCTCCAATTGACTCAATTAGCCTATCAGAAGCTTCTAAAGCCATGACATCATTTTCTGGAATTTTCCAAGCTGTTTAAAGGCACAGTCAACAAGTGTATGTAAACTTCTGACCCACTGGAATTGTGATACAGTGAATTATAAGTGAAATAATCTGTCTGTAAACAATTGTTGGAAAAATTACTTGTGTCATGCACAAAGTAGATGTCCTAACCGACTTACCAAAACTATAGTTTGTTAACAAGAAATTTGTGGAGTGGTTGAAAAACAAGTTTTAATGACTCCAACCTGAGTGTATGTCAACTTCCGACTTCAACTGTATGTGTGTGTTGTCTTGGCAGGAGGTTCAGGAGGTATTAGGTATGTTCCAAGATGGCGAAGTAGTGCAGTCCTGTTTCTGTCGTGTGCCTGTAAATAGCCTGTAAATAACTAGTTTTTTTGTATTTTTCGTACCTATTTCCCTATCAGACTTTTCATCCTTCTACAAAATATACTTTCCTGCAACCCGCCTCACTCAATGTGGAACGGATTCTATTATTGACTTACCTTTTATCTAGAATCTCCAGTGAAACTAGCTAGTCAGCTAGCCAGCTAACTAGCTACTTGCTATTAGCCTTAGCTAGCGGTGTTTCACCCAGAACATTGGATTTTTTTTCTGCGGGATTAATTTTAATCACTGGACATTGATCACCGGATATTCGGCCAGTCTGCACAGCGCGTTATCGACCCAGAACATATCAGTTTTTCCGCTGGAATCACTGAATCACTGGACCTTTAACTCCGGATTCGTCGCTACCAGCTAGCTACAACAAAACGGACGCTGTGGTCTGGCTAATTATCCTGAGCTAGGCCCATCTCCCGGCTATCTACCTCTCTGTCAACCGGACGGGACCACCTAGTATTGACACGGAGCCCCGCCGATCCTACACGACTGGTCTGCCGACGAAATCGTCTGATGTGGTTACGACGTTAACCACGAAGATTCCATCCATCTGCTAGCCCTGGCCCGCTAGCTGTAGCCTCTTACTCACTAGTACTTCACCACCGGACCTTATGATAACTCAGCTATACAGCTGATATCTGCTGGACTGTTCCTTTTTACGGTACTACATCCTGTTTATGTTTAGCCTCAGCCCAAACATGGTTAGTTTATTGTTGTTTCGGTTATTTCTAATTGTACTATATCACTGTAGACCCCCCAGCCTAGCTAAACCTGCCTTAGATAGCTCCTTTGCACCTCCCCCAATACACGCGGAGACCGACTCAATTGATGCCTCCAGCGATGCTATCTCTTTCATCGTTACCCAACGCTTAGGTTTACCTCCACTTTACTCATATCCTTCCATATCCTTGTCTGTACATAATGCCCTGAATCTTTTCTATAACACCCGGAAATCTGCCCCCTTTATTCTATGTACCCAACGCACTAGAAGACCAGTTCTTAAAGCCTTTAGCCGTATCCTTATTCTAGTCCTCCTCTGTTCCTCTGGTGATGTAGAGGCTAACCCAGGCCCTGCAGCCCTCAGTATCACTCCTACTCCCCAGGCGCTATCATTTGATGACTTCTGTAATCGCAAAAGTCTTGGTTTCTTGCACATAAATATCAGAAGTCTACTTCCTAAGTTTGAGTTATTCACTGCGTTAGCACACTCTGCCAACCCTGATGTTCTAGCAGTGTCTGAATCCTGGCTCAGGAAGGCCACCAAAAATTCTGAAATTTCCATCCCCAACTATAACATTTTCCGTCTAGATAGAACTGCCAAAGGGGGTGGAGTTGCAATCTACTGTAGAGATAGCCTGCAGAGCTCTATCATACTATCCAGGTCTGTGCCCAAACAGTTTGAGCTTCTACTTCTAAAAATCCACCTTTCCAGAAATAAGTCTCTCACTGTTGCCGCTTGCTACAGACCCCCCTCAGCCCCCAGCTGTGCCCTGGACACCATATGTGAATTGATTGCCCCCCATTTATCCTCAGAGTTTGTACTGCTTGGTGACCTAAATTGGGATATGCTTAATACCCCAGCCATCCTACAATCCAAGCTAGATGCCCTCAACCTCACGCAAATTATCAACGAACCTACCAGGTACAACCCTAAATCCGTAAACATGGGTACCCTCATAGATATCATCCTGACTAACATACCCTCTAAATACACCTCAGCTGTCTTCAACCAGGATCTCAGCGATCACTGCCTTATTGCCTGCGTCCGTAACGGGTCCGCGGTCAAACGACCACCCCTCATCACTGTCAAACGCTCCCTAAAACACTTTAGCGAGGAGGCCTTCCTAATTGACCTGGCCCAGGTATCCTGGATGGATATAGATCTCATTCCGTCAGTAGAGGATGCCTGGTTGTTCCTTAAAAGTAATTTCCTCTCAATCTTAAATAAACATGCCCCATTCAAAAAATACAGAACTAAGAACCGATATAGCCCCTGGTTCTCCTCAGACTTGACTGCCCTTGACCAGCACAAAAACATCCTGTGGCGTACAGCATTAGCATCAAATAGCCCCCGCGATATGCAACTTTTCAGGGAAGTTAGGAACCAATATACACAAGCAGTCAGGAAAGCAAAGGCTAACTTTTTCAAACAGAAATTTGCATCCTGTAGCACTAACTCCAAAAAGTTTTGGGACACTGTAAAGTCCATGGAGAATAAGAGCACTTCCTCCCAGCTGCCCACTGCACTGAGGCTAGGAAACACTATCACCACCGATAAATCTACAATAATCGAGAATTTCAACAAGCATTTTGCTACAGCTGGCCATGCTTTCCATCTGGCTACCACTAACCCGGCCACCAACTCTGCACCCTCTGCTGCAACTTGCCCATGCCCCCCCCGCTTCTCCTTCACACAAATTCAGACAGCTGATGTTTTGAAAGCGCTGCAAAATCTGGACCCCTACAAATCAGCTGGGCTAGACAATCTGGACCCTTTCTTTCTAAAACTAGCCGCTGAAATTGTCGCTACCCCTATTACTAGTCTGTTTAACCTCTCTTTCATAACGTCTGAGATCCCCAGAGATTGGAAAGCTGCCGCGGTCATCCCCCTCTTCAAAGGGGGGTGACACTCTAGATCCAAACTGCTACAGACCTATATCCATCCTGCCCTGCCTTTCGAAAGTATTCGAAAGCCAAGTTAACAAACAGATCATCGACCATTTCGAATACCACCGTACCTTCTCCGCTATGCAATCCGGTTTCCGAGCTGGTCACGGGTGCACTTCAGCCACGCTCAAGGTCCTAAACGATATTATAACCGCGATTGATAATAGACAGTACTGTGCAGCCGTCTTCATCGACCTGGCCAAGGCTTTCGACTCTGTCAACCACCGCATTCTTATTGGCAGACTAAATAGCCTTGGTTTCTCAAATGACTGCCTCGCCTGGTTCACCAACTACTTCTCAGATAGAGTTCAGTGTGTCAAATCGGAGGGCCTGTTGTCTGGACCTATGGCAGTCTCTATGGGGGTGCCACAGGGTTCAATTCTTGGGCCGACACTTTTCTCCGTGTATATCAATGATGTCGCTCTTGCTGCTGGTGACTCTCAGATCCACCTCTACGCAGACGACACCATTTTGTATACATCTGGCCCTTCATTGGACACTGTGTTAACAAACCTCCAAACGAGCTTCAATGCCATACAACAATCCTTCAGTAGCCTCCAACTGCTCTTAAACACTAGTAAAACTAAATGCATGCTTTTCAATCGAACGCTGCTGGCACCCGCCCACCCGACTAGAATCACCACTCTCGACGGGTCTGACCTAGAGTATGTGGACAACTACAAATACCTAGGTGTCTGGTTAGACTGTAAACTCAACTTCCAGACTCACATAAAGAATCTCCAATCCAAAGTTAAATCTAGAATCGGCTTCCTATTTCGCAATAAAGCCTCCTTCACTCATGCTGCCAAACATGCCCTCGTAAAACTGACTATCCTACCGATCCTTGACTTCGGCGATGTAATTTACAAAATAGCCTCCAACACTCTACTCAGCAAATTGGATGTAGTCTATCACAGTGCCATCCGTTTTGTCTCCAAAGCCCCATACACTACCCACCACTGTGACCTGTACGCTCTTGTTGGCTGGTCCTCACTACATGTTCGTCGTCAAACCCACTGGCTCCAGGCCATCTATAAATCACTGCTAGGTAAATCCCCGCCTTATCTTAGCTCATTGGTCACCATAGCAGCACCCACCCGTAGTCTGCGCTCCAGCAGGTATATCTCACTGGTCATTCCCAAAGCCAACACCTCCTTTGGCCGCCATTCCTTCCAGTTCTCTGCTGCCAATGACTGGAACGAATTGCAAAAATCTCTGAAGCTGGAGACTCTTATCTCCCTCAATAACTTTAAGCATCAGTTGTCAGAGCACCTTACCGATCACTGCACCTGTACACAGCCCATCCGAAATTAGCCCACCCAACTACCTCATCCCTATATTGTTATTTATTTTGCTCTTTTGCACCCCAGTATCTCTATTTGCACATAATCTCTTGCACATCTAGCATTCCAGTGTTAATACTATTGTAATTATTCTGCACTATAGCCTATTTATTGCCTTACCTCCATAACTTGCTACATTTGCACACACTGTATATATATTTTCTGTTGTATTTCTGACTTTATGTTTTTTTTTACCCCATATGTAACTCTGTTGTTTTTATTGCACTACTTTGCTTTATCTTGGCCAGGTCGCAGTTGTAAATGAGAACCTGTTCTCAACTGGCTTACCTGGTTAAATAAAGGTGAAATAAAAAAATTAAAATAAAATTAAAATAAAAAAATTAGCAGTGCCCTGGCCACAGCGCTAGCTCTCAGCCAATCCAGGGACTCCAGGGACTTCAACTGTATGTACTCATGATTAGGATTCAATCGTCAATCCATTTTCTGAGTATTAACATTAATATTTGAACCTTGTTTCAATGCTTTTTAACACACATTATTAATTGGAATGTTAAGTAATTATATTGTTACAGTAATATAACATAACTTTTTTTTAAATCTTGCACAGACTCAACTGAGTTAAAGGATGGAAAAATGAAATGAAGTGATACATTTTGCAACAATTGTGGTCCCACACATAAACCATCATCAGAATAAAAGGGGTTTCAACACTAGTGATACTGTATAAGGCAACAAAAACAATTGTCTCACCAAACCAAACTCAATGTAGGAAATGTAATATACAAGCTGTAATGTTATATTCACACATCTATACACATCAGTCCATACACGAATCCTGATATCTACAATTGAACATATCAACCACAATGATTACTTTCAGGTATATTTCAGATATATTCTTACAGGTATATGTTTGTACTTGTTAAGCAAAATGTGTAAATATACAGTTGACATAGAAAAAAGCATGCTTTTGCATATTGGACGTGTTTTACACAAACCTATGTCACTCTCAATTAATATCTACCATTACTGCATTACTCCAACCAGCAGTAGCAATTTTAGTGTAAAAGGAGAATACTGTCAGAAGACACTGGCTAAATAGACAACATTAGACAACAATTTCAAACTTCATTTCAAAGAGTTCATTTACTATATGGCCATGCATAATACTGTGTTCCAAACCAAACTAACATTGCCATTGTCCATTCTGAAATAAATACATAAATAAATAACAACTAAATTAATAAATAAATGGTGTTGCTTAATACTTTTTTAAGGTTATTATTAAGGTTAATGTATTGACATTGATGGCCCGTGTTTGGGCAGTGCTAACCATTTAGTTGACAACAGGCTGAAAATGTCCTCAAGGAATGGGGATAGGGATCCTCAAGCAATAGGGATATTCTCTCTAAGTCCCCTTCCTACACACCAATCATATTTCACTACCACCATGTCAGGATCTTTCACTTAATGGATCAACTAAAACCAACTACCACTTTTTGATTCAAGAGCTGACACTAAGGTTTCTCCTCACTCTCCTCTGATTGGTCCACTCACTTCTTGTTCTTCAGCTGATTGGCCAGCCAGTCAAGGCCCTCGTATAGGCCGTCTCCGCTGGTGGCGCAGGTGGCCTGGATGTACCAGTTTCGGTGACGGAGGGAGTGGAGCCCCAGCTTGTCTGTGATCTCTGCTGCGTTCATGGCATTGGGCAGGTCCTAGACGCCGAACGTGAAGTAGAGATGGAAGGATAGGAGTGGAGAAGAGCACATGAGAGAGCAGGATAGGCGTAAGGAAAGCACAGGTAGACAGAAGCACAGGTAGACAGAAGGACAGGTAGACAGAAGGACAGGTAGACAGAAGGACAGGTAGACAGAAGAACAGGTAGCAAGGAAAATCACATGATTTAGACACAGGCAACAGATACAAATATATGGTGAGTGAGGCAATAGAATAGAATAGAACAGAATAAGCACTTTATTGTCCATACCTGTTTGTTAGCGAAGATAAGAAGCACGGCGTCTCGTAGCTCGTCCTCAGCCAGCATCCTCATCAGCTCCTCTCGAGCCTCGTTCACCCGCTCACGATCATTACTGTCCACCACGAAGATCAGACCTGGAACCACAACAGACCTGACTTCAACAAACGACATACCCTCAAGGTAGCAACCAGGAATCGGGACAAGCCTGTCAACAAACTACAGACCCTTTGAAGACAAAGGTTTACTGTCTGACATCCCCCTTTATCAGAATGAACAGGTTAAAGGTAGTCAGCTAAATTGACCCACTATGCTGTTTACTTCCTGCATCTACGTAATATCGCTAACTCTACCTTTAATGTTCCAAGGGCTGTGAGAGGGGTTTTGTACACATACCGTATCATAGGTATAGTATATAATAGAAAGACATGACAAAATCATAATATAATACTGGTAAGATGCTTTGAATTTGGCTTTTAAAAACTTGCTCATTTGAGGCCGTTAATGCAGTATGCAAATGTCTATAACTAGAGTGTGTAAGTCAGCCCAATACATCATTGTGCTGGATGTGTCATAGGCCTGGAGTGGCAGTCTTTGTCCCAGCGTGGGCCTATAGCCCTCAAATAAAAATCTCAAAGCCAGTTACACTGCTTTTGTTCATTTTTCCCCTCTAATTTGGTACGGATTTAGACACCAGGTGTGTGCAATTAATTATCAGGTAGAACAGAAAACTAGCAGTACTCCGGACCTCGTTGAGTAAGATTTGAATACCCCTGCTCTATAGTGTCACCAACCAATGTTCTAACACAGGTCTCCTGCACTCCCCCAGACTGAGTTAGCCCACTGAGCTAAAGCATAGGCAGTAGCTTGAGGGGCTAACGCAAGTTTTTAGGTCTCAGGCAAGGTTACACAGTCACAGATTAGTGAGAGCCAGAGCTCTCCTGCTCAGCTTACACGTCACAAGAATGTGTTAGCCCGCTGAGCTAAAGCGTATTAGCTCCCCTTATACTTACCCTGTGTGTTCTGGAAGTAGTGTCTCCACAGAGGCCTGATCTTGTCCTGACCACCCACGTCCCACACCGTGAAGCTGATGTTCTTATACTCAACCGTCTCCACGTTAAACCCTGAGCAGGGGAAGGAGCATGTGTGTTACAAATGCCTTATAAAGAGCTGTAGGTGTGTTACAAATGCCTTATAAAGAGCTGTAGGTGTGTTACAAATGCCTTATAAAGAGCTGTAGGTGTGTTACAAATGCCTTATAAAGAGCTGTAGGTGTTTATAACACACAAATGCCTTATAAAGAGCTGTAGGTGTGTTACAAATGCCTTATAAAGAGCTGTAGGTGTGTTACAAATGCCTTATAAAGAGCTGTAGGTGTGTTACAAATGCCTTAAAGAGCTGTAGGTGTGTTATAAACACCTTATAAACAGCTGTATGTGTGTTATAAACACCTTATAAACAGCTGTAGGTATGTTATAAACACCTTATAAACAGCTGTAGGTATGTTATAAACACCTTATAAACAGCTGTAGGTGTGTTATAAACACCTTACAAGAGCTGTGTGTGTGTTGTAAATGCCATTTAAACAGTTGTAGGTGTGTAGTGATTAAAGGCCAGTGCAGTCAAAATTAAGTTTTTACTGTGTTTTGTATCACAGCTGATGAAACTAACACTGTAAAAGTGTGAACAATTTTCTATCAGTGTTATTTCCTGATAGTTACTGGTCGAAAATGCAATCTACACAGGAGCTTCTAATCAGCAGGTTTGCATGGGCGGGCATTTCAGCTTTCCATGGTAACATCACCATGCGGTAAATTGGTTGATAGACCAATAACAAAGAGAGTTCCCAGGGATGGCTCCAGGCATAAGCGACATAAGCCTTCCCCCCAATTTTAGGAACTCAGTTGGGGTCTCAACTTACTGTTGAGAGTTAGAATAGTAGAACACACAAGGTGCAAGTTAGAAATTTGGTTGTACATTAGCAATTTTTCTCTTGTTATGTCAGACACTGACACTGAATCTGTGTGATTTATGACCATTAGGGCGGGGGCTCCTGCACATACTGTTGTTGTTGATGTTTTTTTTACTGTTACAAACTGTCTTTCTATTTGTGCAAAATAAAATAAACAAAGACACTGACAGTCACTCAATTAGCCATGTCAGCTAACAATTTAGTCTAGCCAGCTATCTAAACTTTAGTCTAGCCAGCTATCTAAATAAGGTCTCACCTTATTGTTGAAAGTTAGAATAGTAGAATACACAATGTGCAAGTTCGAAATTTGGTTGTGCATTAGCAATTTTTCTCTTGTTATGTCAGTCACTGACAGTCACTCAATTAGCCATGTCAGCTAACAATTTTAGTCTAGCCAGCTATCTAAACTTGTAGTAATCGTGGGGGCGGCAGGTAGCTTAGTGGTTAAGAGCGTTGTGCCAGTAACCGAAAGGTCTCTGGTTCTAATCCCCGAGCCGACTAGGTGAAAATCTCGATGTGCCCTTGAGCAAGGCATTAACCCTAATTGCTCATGTATAAGTCGCTGCGGATAAGAGCTTGGCTAATGACTAATGTGAAATGTAAATGTAATCATGGCCAAATACCGACCAGGCATGCAGGGCACGTGCCCAGGGGCCCTGATCTCCAGGGGCCCCCCATTGATTTAGTTAGTCACTCTCACTCAGATATCATGGCATTAGTCATGTAGAATTGCAGGAAATTAGCTTTAAAACTGAAATTACCTGTAAAACCAAATCTCGCTTAGGGCCCCCAAAAGAATAGAGCCGGCCCTGAGAGTTCCAAACCTCACTGCCAATTATAGCTAGTTTTCAGTTTTCCCCTCCCCACTCAGACCCCTCCCAGACAGTCGTAGCAAGATTAAGAAATCGTTTTTTTTCTTCTTTTTTAATCTTTTTTAAAAATGGAAATCTATTACAGTAAGTTACTTAATTGTTACGCAGCAATTAGTTGATATTGATATAAAAATGGCTGCATTGGGTCTTTAAGGATAAGTAACATTTCTAAAAGATAACACATTTTACTTTTCTCTCATCCTTTGTAACCAATGACCTTCGTTGTGAGACTGTGAGACTTTCCATACCGATAGTGGGGATGGTGGTGACTATCTCTCCCAGCTTCAGTTTGTATAGGATGGTGGTCTTCCCTGCAGCGTCCAGCCCCACCATCAGGATCCTCATCTCCTTCTTCCCTAACAGGCTCTTCAGCAGGTTGCCAAAGATGTTCCCCATGGTGACTGGCTGGCTGGTGGCTGGCTGGCTGGTTGACTGGTGACTGGCTGGCTGGTCAGACCTCAACTCACTGCTACAGAGCTGATGGGCAAAGAAGCTGGATGTTAGGGCCCAGAGTTTTTCATGATCTTGTAACTTAACCAATAAAAAATGGTCTCTAGTTGCATGCCACTAATGGGAGAATTATTCCTAGGGCCCAGGCAAAAGTCTGCATGCCCGGTCAAGTCACAAGGTGAGGAAAAACTGTTGCACCCTGGAATAAGCTAATTCAACCATAGACTAAATGGCAAGCCAGCGGCTGAACAAACAGTACGTTTACTGAGTCAGAACCCCAGAGACATGCTGCAGGACACACAGTAGCCCTTCAACCACTACTCAGGCCATTAACACCTCATAACAGCTCCAAACCACATCAGAGGAAAACTAATCAAGTCTGTTTCACACCTCTACATGCGGGCTGAGGAAGCTGACCTGACTGAAGGCCTGTAGGCTGGCAGACTGCACACTGGTGAGAAGAGCTGCCATGTTGTAGGCTTACACTACCTACCACAATCCCTTGTTGAGCTGGGTTTATGTGGTTTATAGTAGTTCTAATCTATACATTGAAATATGTTATTTAATATACAGTGATATATATGTGCCACTGTAACAGTAAAATGTTATCTGTCCCTACAGTAGGCTATAGTCCTAAAGCAAGGATCATCAAATTGTTATAGGGTGGCACACTGCAGGTACAGTCTTCTGTTCTGAGTCAAACATATTTAAATAGCCTAGCTTAAAAATACATGGATGAATGTGTTCATAAATTGATTTTTCAATCACTGCATCGCAGTGGCCGCATAGGATACTATGAAACACATCTGTCGTAGCGCAAGAGCACTCGCAGTGATGGCAGCAACCTCAGCTCAGTGCGCCTGTGTCTGTGGAGTGGAACACCCTTTATCTTTGCAGCACACTGCGCATCACAAAATGCCGGTTCAATCAAATAATAACATAGTAAATATCATATGTAGACAGTCACACTGTACACATCAGAAATGCCAGGGTTATTTCCATCCATAGGCATATTATGATTATCACCTTCTCCAGTCACGACAAGAAGCAATGCTTAGGTGGCCTGTATGGACGCCGTTAATTCACTAGGATCACTACCAACACCTAACGTTAGTTGTTTCATTACTGTAATGACATGACAAGATTAGATTGCCGCATTCTTGTATTTCAATAGTTTTACGTTATCCATAATTTTCATAATGCCCATCTCATTCTCACTTACCTCTTTTAGCCGTACCAGCTGGATTCGGGCAGCGCCGTTTGACTCTCGCGAGAAGACGCCAAGAATGACAGGGGTCTCGCGATAATGAGCTCCACAAGTACAGCTCTCCATCACTTCATGGGCCGATCACGCGCCCCCTTCACTGTCAATACATCTTGATACATTGTCAGTAGGAGGATGGGGGTCAATTCTTTTTTGTTGTTGTTGAAAATGTACTATTCGTTTTTTATGGGGAGTTTGTAATTCAATGATTTCTTTTGATTTAGCCTTCTGAGTTGAAACTGAGTGTGATAAACACCCTGCTTTAGTGCTTTCATGAATCAAGATTACACATTGCCCTGCTACTGTACAATAAAGCAATCAATGCCTGTCAGCTGTTGTGTGTGTGTGTGTGTGTGTTAGAGATTAGAGACAAAATATATTATAAGAGATTAGAGAGTAAATCAATTTGGCTAGAGGTAAACATATAAGAATAATTCAGCTGGGAAACACCTCAATGAATAAGTGAGGAACTGTTAAAACCATGCCAAAGCCAAAGATTTTGTGTGCCAGAGACAATGAGATGAGAAGAGGAAGCATTTAGGCTACAATGAATCACTCTCACAAGAGGCCACTAACAATGGTTAGTATGGGGACATTTAGATTTTGTTTAATTTTTCTGGATCAACATGGAACATGAAAATACATAACTCATGATTTTTCATGGAGACCAGATCAAACACATCAAATAGCAATACCATCGCAAGCCTTTAACAGTTCCTCAATTGACTTTCTCAAAACCCCTCTTTGAAGCATTTACATTTATGTCATTTAGCAGACGCTCGTGTCCAGAGCAACTTACAGGAGCAATTAGGGTTACGTGCCTTGCTCAAGGGCACATCGGCAGATTTCTCACCTAGGTGGCTCTGGGATTCGAAACAGCAACCTTTCATTTACTGGCCCAACACCCTTAACCACTAGGCTACCTTCCGCCCGTAAGGTGAACCGCTGTATGTGGGTTTTAGGGTTTTATACGGGCATCTGCTAAACTTATTTCGCTGTATTTGCTCTGTTTTAAATATAGGTTCAAAAACCCATAGTCTTTCAAAATTCAAAACTCATAGTCTTTCAAAATTCAAAACCCATAGTCTTTCAAAATTCTAAAACCCATAATCTTTCAAAATACAAAACCCATAATCTTTCAAAATTCAAAACCCATAGTCTTTCAAAATTCAAAACCCATAGTCTTTCAAAATTCGAAACCCATAGTCTTTCAAAATTCAAAACCCATAGCTCCTCCGCACACTCCGCACACTCCACTGGCTTCCAGTTGAAGCTCGCATCTACTACAAGACCATGGTGCTTGCCTACGGAACTGTGAGGGGAACGGCACCTCCTTACCTTCAGGCTCTGATCAGACCCTACACCCAAACGAGGGCACTACGTTCATCCACCTCTGGCCTGCTAGCCCCCCTACCTCTACAGAAGCACAGTTCCCGCTCAGCCCAGTCAAAGCTATTCGCTGCTCTGGCACCCCAATGGTGGAACAAGCTCCCTCACGACGCCAGGACGGCGGAGTCACTGACCACCTTCCGGAGACACTTGAAACCCTACCTCTTTAAGGAATACCTGGAATAGTATAACAGTAATCCTTCTACCCTCCCCCCTCCCCCACATCCCCATAAAAAAAAAATAGAAAAAAAGGGTGGTTGTCCCACTGGCTATCCTAAGTTGAATGCACCAATTTGTAAGTCGCTCTAGATAAGAGCGTCTGCTAAATGACTTAAATGTTAAATAGTCTTTCAAAATTCAAAAACCCAAGTCTGTCAAAATTCTTGATTTAATGTCCCAGGCCTACTGAGTGTCTGTGAATATACAGAAAAGGCCTACAATATAGGCTAAACGAGTGAGTTCTTTACGTGTTGATATACCAGTAGTGTGTTTCTCTCTACAGTACGTCTGTCTGCCAGTGGCTCTGGGTATGATAGATGTGTTTATCAATTCAGCGGTTGAGGCGGAAGGAAAAAGAGTGAGGCAGATGTTTGCAGCTGCACACCAGACTACAGGGTGGAGAGGATGCAGGGGGAGTGTGCCGTAGCCTGTGTTTGTGTGTGTTGGGAGCACGGAGGGGGTTATAGGGGGGTTACTGTACAGCGCAGTGGGTAGGGACTGACCAGGGATGGTGGGTGGGGGACGGGGGTTGGAGTTATAATTTAAAGGAGCCTATTCCTCTGAAGTGTTTGCCAGAGTGCACCCCAGCAAACACAATCACATGTCTGGTTGGTTGTGCTTGCAGAACTAATGAGGGCTGAGAAGCACGTTGAGGGCAGAAGAGCGGAGAGCTTTGATGTTCTGGGTAGTGTTTTCTCTCTCTGCCTGACTCTCTCCCTGCATGTCCCACATCAAAAATTAAAGGGGAGTCAGTCGCAAAGCAGATGTTTTGGAGCTATGCGTTTATACAGAATAGACTTTATAAATTATCTCTCTCTTTCTCCTCTCTCTCTCCCTCTCTCACTAAGTTTGCCTTTATGTTTATATGCACAGTATCCACAGTAGGTATGTGTGTAGATGGGTGAGAGAAAAAAAAATATTTAGTCCATTTTGAATTCAGGCTGTAACACAACACAATGTGGCATAAGTCAAGAGGTATGAATACTTTCTGAAGCCACTGTATGCATCAATCTAGGCTATCTTTCAATCTAGCTAAACATACTGAATCATCTTCTGTTAAACATACAGTATAATCATCCTGTCAGTCAACGTCGAGGACTTTTATCTTTCTTAACTTCCCCCATTCTCTCTCCTTTTAATTCAGCTGGGTCTGGTTGTCATTACTCTAGGGGCAGTCAATGTGTTGCCGTGCATGTGTCAGCGCCTGCAGACTGCAGCCATGGTGGGAGACAGGGAGAGAGGGGGAGGGAGTAGGAGAGAAATCAAATTGTATTTGTTACATGCTTCGTAAACAACAGGTGGCAACTAACAGTGAAATGCTTACTTGCCAACAATGCAGAGATTTTTTTTTTTTTATAATAGAAAAATAATAACACAAGGAATAAATACACAATGAGTAACGATAACTTAGCTATATACACAGGGTACCAGTACCAAGGTGATGTGCAGGGGTACGAGGTAATTGAGGTAGATACAGTATGTACATATAACTATGAAAAGTGTCTAGGCAACAGGATAGAAAATAAACAATAGCAGCAGCGTATGTGATGAGTAAAAGAGTTAGTGCAAAAAGGGTCAATGCAGATAGTCCGGGTAGCTATTGGTTAACTATTTAACTAACTATTTAGCAGTCTTATGGCTTGGGGGTGGAAGCTGTTCTAGGTCCTGTTGGTTCCAGACGGTGCATCGGTACCGCTTGCCGTGTGGTAGCAGAGAGAACAGTCTATGACTTGGGTGGCTGGAGTCTGACTATTTTTAGGGCTTTCGTCTGACACCGCCTGGTATAGAGGTCCTGGATGGCAGGAAGCTTGGCCCCAGTGATGTACTGGGCCGTACGCACTACCCTCTGTAGTGCCTTGAGGTTGGATGCCAAGCATTTGCTATGCCAAGCGGTGATGCAGCCAGTCAAGATGCTCTCAATGACACAGCTGTATAACTTTTTGAAGATCTGAGGGCTCATGCCAAATCTTTTCAGCCTCCTGAGGGGGAAGAGACATTGTCGTGCCTTCTTCACGACTGTGTTGGTGTGTGTGTGGACCATGTTAATTCCTTAATGATGTGGAGGCCGAGGAACATGAAGCTCTCGACCCGCTCCACTACAGCCCCGTCGATGTGGATGGGGGCGTGCTCGGCCCTCCATTTCCTGTAGTCTACAATCAGCTCCTTTATCTTGCTGACGTTGAGGGAGAGGATGCTGTCCTGGCACCACACTGCCAGGTCACTGACCTCCTCCCTATAGGCTTTCTCATCGTCGTCAGTGATCAGGCCAACCACCGTCGTGTTGTCAGCAAACTTAATGATGGTGTTGGAGTGTTGCGCAGGAACACAGTCGTAGTGATAAGCTTTTGTATATGTTTATGTGTGTGGCGTAAAGGTGATGTAGAGTTTTTTCGCCTTTAGATGCACAGGTGACATGCTCGTAAAAATGAGGTAGGACAGATTTCAGTTTTCATGCATTAAAATCACCAGCCACGAGAAGCACCACCCCTGGATGTACATTTTCTTGTTTGCTTATGGCCCTCTACAGCTCGTTGAGTGCGGTCTTATTGCTAGCATCGATTTGTAGTGGTAAATAGACAGCTACGAAAAATGCTACGAA